CCTTCTGATAGGACACACGGTTTCTGTATTGACCTTTGGTCATGGGTGCACACATTGGGTCCCCTCCTCATCTCTGTGAGTCACTCTCTCTTCTCCACGCTTCATCTAAGCCTCTTTAGGGAGTGCTGGAAACCTAAGGATGCTGTCTCTGGCTGCTTGGGGATTGCAGCCTGTTGGTGGAGGGAGAAGGAAGGAGTGCCTCGGCCCTATCTGCCTGGACTTGGCTTGTCTCCCTGTCCGTACTGTTCAAGGGTTTGGTGTATGAAATTATGGGTCCTGGCCATTTTCCTGGGTACAATCTGGGAGGCAAGATAGCAGTTCACCTTGGCTCCGTGATCTGTCTTGTCCCCACCTGGGAAGGTGGGTGGGAAGCACTTGCTTTCCTCTGACTCTTCCTCTCTCTGTTCTCTGGAATCTTAAAGCCTGTCTTAGACTGGAGACTCTGGGTTCTTTATCTGCTCTTCCTTTCTGTCCCAAAGTGTAAGAGCTTTGTTCTCTCAGCATTCAAAGGTAGACATTTTAATATCACAAGGCCCTTCTCTAAAGATCTTTGTCTCTGCATTGAATTTTCAAAGATATTTTAAAATCCAAAAGCCAAGAACAGCTTTTTTTCCCCTCTCTCTCTTTCTCGAAATGACCCTTTCTTGAGGGCAGTGGATACCTGCCTCATGGCCTTGTTTCAGAGGGGCTGAGGGGTGGAGGAAGGCCTTCAAGTAAAAAGGCATTTGGGTGGGAGGACAGGGTACATCATCATGCTGCATGTTTACTTAAAAACAAGGAAAAAAGTGAAATAGTAAAAGAAATATAACCTTTGTTCTTTCCTTTCTGATTTCTACATTGAAATTGATTTTTCTGTGTTTGTTTTCTGGAGAATGATTTTTGAATATTCCCTATACCCTTTCTGTGAAAATATCAGCCCAGTATTCATTTCTGGTAGATGTGCTTTCAGCAAACCCTGTTCTTAATATCTCTGGTGTGCAGTCGTCTGAGATTTTCCCATTTGTTCCAAGGTACTTGAAGGGCTGATTTGGTTTTGAAATTTACAGCTAACATCCACTGAACTTGGACATAATCTTTTCATGTTTACCGTATATTTTTCACAGATTTCCAAGGTTCATTTAACTTGATTCATACTAAACAAGTAAGCTTGAGATGTGGGGGTGGCTGGAAAAAAAGAAAAGGCTTAGCACTTAGTGTTTTTGGAATTCTGCCACGTTTTTGTTCCATTGCTTCAATTGGCCCTTTAGTGATGTTATATTGAACACTTTTTTCAAAGGCTCCTTTAAAATACCGGTTTAGGAAAAATGTGGGTGAGGTGGAAATGAAACACAAAACTGAATTGTTAATTTATGTGACAATTCATCAGTGGGGTCAAGTGCTGTCAACTTTTTGTTTATATCTTGGTAATTTGATGCAAATGGAACTGGCAGTTTGCCAGCTTTTTTTTTGTTTTGCTTTGTTTTCTTTCCAGAGAAATTTAAGAAAGAAATTTTACTAGCTCTTCCTTTTCCAAGTCCTTGATTCTATTTATTAGGTTGTCAGTGTCTGATCTTTCTGTTTTTTGGATATGACTTCAAATCATCAGAAAAATGGTACCATAAACTATTGTTGATACCATTAATTCAGATTTGTGAAGCATTCATTATGTCAGTAGTTTTATCAAATACAGTCAGTTG